AGACTTGCCAGACAGATTCCAGGAAGACTGCCAAGGACTGTGAAAATAGAAGCAGTTAACTCTTTTGGGTCTGGTTTTGTTTGCTTGAATATTTGAACTTTGGAACTTTGGATTCTCACCTGTGGATACAGGTGAGACAGAACACTCCCCCTGTGTATATTTTATAATACACTTGTTCGTAGTAACAAGGTTGCAAGCAGAGAAAAATCTCAGCTGTTGTGTGATGTACAATCAGCTTCATATAAGTAGAGCAATACCAGATATATTAATAAAGTAAAGTTTGCTTGCTGTATAGCTGTTGGTACATAAAACGTTTCAATCTGTTTTTAAAAAAAGACTAAAAGTAAAAAAAAATTAATCCCTGTAAATTGTTATATTGAATTATGCTTTCAGTATGAGGTTATCATTATGAAACACACACACACACACACACACACACACACACCTTTATCTGTAAATACTTGTATATTTCATTTGTATTTAAACACATTAGAGAGCACATTATTTTTTATTTATTTTTGGAACCAGTAGTTTCAAATTGGTTATATAATAAAACACTAGAAGGCATATTCCTATCCTGTTTTGAAAGCTGGGAACCAAGATGTAACTTCAGAAGAGTTAAATTGTTTCTAGGGTTTACAAAAATTGTATGCCCCTTAATGTAATTAATATTTTTGTTAGCTTTTAGTCAAAACTTTGTAGAACAAAAGTTGTATTTTTTTTGGAAAAGATTGATACTGCGCAATAACTAAATCTAAACCTTCTGAGACCAAAATAAAATCATTTTGTAAAGGCCAATCAACCCTCCCCCCCAAAAAAATATTTGGAAACAGCAATTTCCAAAATCAGTAAAGATTCTCTTTAGATTCCTGGTGACTACTGTCTCATGTATCCTTGAGCGTTCCTTGAATCTTAATGTAATCCGAGTCGGATGCAGCTTAACATTTTTAGATTGATTAGGGTTGGTTAGGTGTTGTTGCCATTCTGATGTATCTGAAATGGGTCCAGCCAAAACCTGGATGTAAGAATTCTAAAATTATCACTACATTTAATCTTCAGCTTCTACAAACTCCTACAACCATTCATATGAATAATGTGATTATTCTCCTGCCTGTATTATTGTGCCTATGCAGTAGCATACACATGAATTCTCAGTTGAATGGATTCTCATGTTATAGGTTTTGATGAAAACTCAGACTTATGGAAACCTGTTAACATAATAGACAAGTCTGTTGCATCTAAAGTGATTCTTATAAGGCAGGTTAATTTATCTTAATTTTATATTATTCACAGTAATGTAGTATATATTCTGGAATAACGAAAAAAATATTTCCCAAAAAACTCCATTAAGGTTTCCCTGCAGTGTAAAATTATTTTCCTATTTTACTGATAGGAGTAGCCCCAAATACCACAAAATATAAACTTTCTATCCATCCCACCTTCTTCTTTCATACAGCCTTCATACAGGTCAGGTGCATGTATGTATGGTATATGCACATATTGGTATGTTCCAAACACCATAATCTGTAATTGAGATTTTTCTGAAAGAAGCCAAAATAAAATAAAAGCATAATTTGTAATAATTTCAAGCTGCTCATTGAAATGTATATAATACACAACAGAAATTCTGATGACTATAATAATGCAATTTTGAATATTCAATGACATAATTAGAGTTAATAATAACATCATATAATAACATCCCGGTTTAACTGCATATTCTTAGTAGTCCTCAAAGGCCAGTGTGTGTGTGTGTGTGTGTGTGTGTGTGTGCATGAACTGGGAAACTATGAGTTTTAATCCTTGGATAGGAAGATAAATGGGTGACCTTGGACCAATCTCTCGATCCTTGGAAGGAGGCAATGACAAACCACTTCTGAAGAATCTGGCCAAGAAAACTGCAGGGATTTGTCTAGGGCAGTGTCTGAGAATCAGACATGATTGAATGAAAGAAAAAATATTACAAATATATCAGAACATATTTTAGACTCCACTTCTTAGGAAAATCTACAGTTCTATCTCCTATATTACTCTCAGGGGCCCCTCAAAAAAGCAAGCAGCCAAAATTCTCTCCATTACAATTAAAATAAGAGCAGTTATTAGCAGCCAAGTTTTTAGTTTTTCTATTTTTTTTAAGTTGGATATATCTACTGGCTTGTTGTTCAAAAACATTTTTCTTCTTTTTGTTTTAATATTTTTATGTTAAACTTTATTGTGCATTTTAAACTGTTCTCCACTATTAACTAATGAAGTGTTAACGTTAAATTAAGTTGGATTTATGAATCATGTACTTTTGTTAAAAATGAGAATTACATGTCTTCAAAATAATGTTTTCTCTGTTCTGATTTTACTTTGGATTTGTCAGTGACTATAATAAAGAGAGTATGCCTTAAGATTTCTCTGAAAATACATTCATGCATGGAATTCAAAAGGCTTTCAGAATAAAGGACTAATAAGACATTCAGCCCAGAGGTATTTTGAGTTAAAATGACTTGCACAGCATTTGGTAAGTACTTGTGGATGTAGCCAATGCAACTAATTAAGACTGGTATCTATTATGAAATTTCTATTAACTTCAGTGAAGGTTTAACTGGAACTCTGATCCTTTTATTAAATGAAAGCAACAATGCAACACAATTGCAATGCAGTTGGGGACACACTGCAATCTCTTTCTTCCCTGTTCACTGTAAAGATCTTTGGAATCATTTTAAAATATTTACTCATGGAAGGGTGTTCCACCACCTTACTCTTTTCAAACCTAACTTCCGTCACTGACATGGAGAGATAAGATATGAAGGGAATTACCAGAGTATGTTTTTCCATCCCATACTGGGCATTGGATTGTATGAAAAGAAATGAAGTTGTCATCAATTTACATGTTAACTTCTTACCCAGTAAGCCATCTATACCACTAACAGTCTGGTGATTGTCACTAGATTCAGTGGTAAAACATGTTTAGCATGCAGTAGATTATGATTTAATCTGGGTCATCTTTGGGAACAAAAGGCCAGGAAGTTGTTGCTGCAGTTAGAGAAAGACGGATGGCTAAACTAACATAATTTGCATCCTGTGTTCATATAACTCATGCATGGTATACTTTTTGCTCAGCCTTTCCATCATCTGAACTATAGAGAAGAGGGGCTGCATTTTTTTCAAAATAATCCTTAAGAGGGGGGGAAATTATAGTTGAATTATTTTTGTTTTTGCTATCGCAGACCTATTACATTCAGACTTGAAATTAAACGGCTGGTTCACCAGAATTCTTCTGATAAACATAATGGCAACCTTCATACATACAAAGTTTATGCTGTAAACTAAAGCATGTCTATTCTCTTTTAGGAAAAAAAATATACTTTCTACAGAATGTAACACTGAAATCTGACGAAAAAGAGTGTAAATCTCCCCATGAAACATTCAAAGTAGGATTGAGTGGGGAATGAAATATTGTAAGTGACTGTGGAGTATGGTTTTAAGAGCTTTTTTTTTTTTTGAATTGGCAATCAATTTTGAACAATTCTGCCTCCAAGAATCCAAATTATATTATTTTTACTGTTGCAATTACAATAGGTCAAACTAATTGGAAAAGAAATCCTCAGAAATCTGAATTCTGTACTCCAATTGCTCCATGTTCACTAAGTCTTAAAAAGTTACTAGCTATATTTTTAGAAGGGAAGAAACTTATCTCCACAGATCTCTCCCTAAGCATGTTTTCCCTTCTGAACAACGTACGTATTTACATATCCTCTATTACTTCGTAACATTTTCACTGAAATATGATGATTGGCCAGGCCCTCCAGTGACTAATAGCTACTTATGATAACTATTAAACCCTTCCTTGAGGGACCCCTGGCAAGAATATGATGGGAGAGGTTGTTTCGATGAACCAGATACAGTCCAGCCTTTCTTATTCTTGTTTTTTCACTTATGTTTAGAGACATTGTAGCCTGCAGTCCTGTTCTGCAATATTTTTAAAAAAACAGCTGTCATAATCTTGGTGCTGTTATATTGTTCATGGGTTTTCTTTTTTTTCAAGGCCATTTTAGTAAAATAGGTAGAGGTCCAGTGTAAGACTGCTTTATTGAGGTCTGGGGAATAGCTAAGAGCTAAGCTACAGAGAAGCCTCTAAAAGTGATACTGTTATGCAATTCGCCCAATAGATTAATCAGGAGGAAAGAAGTGACATCAAACTGGCAAGCAAGTATATTATTCCTCAAATATTATCTTTAACATTAGCAAGAACTGCTTATACTAACACTGATTATCTTTAAAAGAAATACTTCTATCCAAGTGCAGACCTTTTATTGCTTTCTGGCATCTGCTTTCTCCCTTTGTATTTCTATTTCTCATGGTTCTATCTGCAATTTAATAGGGTCTGGTTTGATACCAGTCCTTAGACTGAAGACTGAAAAAGGAAAATTTCTTGCAAGATTAACTGTAGTATAAACCAGCTAAAGGTTACAGGCTTCTCTTCATAAATGCCTATCAACTCCAAGCTAGTGGAGAACAAGAAAACGAGCCTTCAAAATCTGTTAGTGACCCTGCTCATCCTGATGAATACCAGGAATGAAAATCAGGCTTGTGGCTGATCTCTCATCTGTTAGAGAAGCAACTGTTGAGCTTCCTTGAGGGAGCAGGGGATTCTGAAATTCCACTAATAAAGTCCTTCTTGGCAGAATGGAGAGCCTTGTTTACCAATGTAACCTAAATAGGTAGAAAAATGCTGAATCAATCAGTAAATATGAAGCCCTGAAATGGAAGATGATATCAGTCCATGGTAGTCTATTCTCAACTTTACCTCTAATAATTGAACTGCACAATTAAAACCCAATGTTTTCGTATTTTGTTCATTTTATTTTATTTTACATTTTTTAATGTTTCTGTGCATAAACTATGTGGTAATTAAAACATATTTTAGTATTGCACTGAGAGGTTTCCCTATCTTTTTATATATTTCCTTACATTCATAAATCTGACTATTTGCACAAGTAGTCCTCAAATATCAACAATAAAAGAAAAATCTATGGACAAATTCCACCATAGTGCTCATGTTATCAACAGTAGGCAAACTTTATGCTATGAATCTCTTCAATGACTTAAAGACATGGCTGGCAGATCCTAAAATCTTAGGGATTGAGCAGACTGGGTTGCTCTACATTGGATTATATATGGTCTTATACGATCCTATTGAGAAATATTTCTGGGGATCGATGTGTAATCTTTTCATAGTTTTAATTGGCTTAAAGCAGCTTTCAATTCTATTTATTCATTATTTATCTGATTTATGTGCTGCTCATCTCATCTGTTTCTCAGAGACTACTATGGGAAACACAACTGACCAGAAGGCAATTATTCTAAATCCTTTTTGCAGATTAAATATAATCCTAATAGCACTTTAACTAACCTATTTCCTTCTATAGGTGGAGCTAGAGAAGGGTGTGTTTTGACTTCAATCTTGTTCAATTTTTATATGAATGACTTGGCAGTCTCATTGGAAACTGAAGACTTTGCTGCCCTATGCTGACCGATACATATGTGCCTTTTTATTATATGTTGATATCACCTATTTGTTTTGCCAGTGATTGATGACAGCCTTCTAGCAATATTGCAGTATTAACAATCCAACTGTAAAGTATTCTAAAACGAAGATACTAATCTTTTCCTTTTCCAGGAAATCATATAAAAGATATTTTGATCACCATCATATTGAACAGGTATGTTTAGGATTTCTTTCACCAAATCCTGTTTAAATGAATTTTCCTTATCCATCCTAGAAATGAGATTTATAAGGAACCAATTTTCTAGTGAGACACCCTGACAATCCTTGGGAACATGCTTTTTTGTATTGTATCCTCTACTGGGATATAAAGAACAAATATAACCACTACTTTTTAAGATTCCTAGGAATAAATTATTTATTTTACGTAACTTACTGCCTTGCAGATGCAAGCTCAGACATAACTAAAATGGTTGCAAAAGTATTTTATATTGCTATTAAGAGGCAAGTTATTGTTGCTGCAACAGCACTAACTGTATTGATTTTAAGTATTATTATATACTATTGACTGGCCAAAGACTCTAAAATCATTCATTCATTCATTCACTCACTCATTTATCCATCCATTATTTTTCATATTTAACTGGGACAGCATTATACAGTGACTTTGTCTAAGTGAGGCAGTATCAGAATTCAATGCAGAGATTCCTCAGTTTTAAGGGGTCTTCAGTTCTTATTTGAAAAACTGATTGTAAGTTGGAATACACTGGAATTCTACTCTGAGATAATCCTAGCTACATTCAGCCAGCGTACCAGCTTCTTGGGACTTAGGACTGACACAATACCATGATTCTAGACTACAGAAGTGTTACAGCTTCTTTTTAGACTGCTTGAATTTACAAAGACAAAATATCACTGAAGTCTGACAGCAAGACAAGAAGCCAGATCGTGACACATCATTTTGTTTTGTTTTGCTGGTACAGCTGTGACAAATGAAGGCATGCGAAAGGAAAGACAGGAGCCATATTTTAAGTCCTTAATCAAGGTATGGACAAGTAATAGCATCAGTCGTTCTTTTAGAAATTAAAGTGACTGTGCCTAACAAGACACTGTGACAATGGAGAGTTGGGTTATGCTTTTAAACTTTATCACAAAGTGATTCAACACAGAGTAATTTTGGCACTATTGGCAGCCCCTTACTAAAGAGGGGACTGGTCCATCACAGCTTTTTTCCCTACAACAGAAAATTCTTTATTTATTACTCATTTGGAGGAGCTACTCAAGGAATAGGAAAGTCTTTAAGGAGTTGTGTCCATTGCAGCTTGTTGTCCTCCAGAGTCAAAACATTTTTAGATCATTCTAGAGATCTTGTCTACAGATTAGTGTGGTGGATATACATGTGCAAAACTGCAAAATAATAATAGATGTGCCCAAATATAGATTTCTTTTAACTCTAAGGCCCAAAATGTTTCTGGACTGTGTATTAATAGCATTTAAAACACTTTAAAATGTTATCCTAGGTAACATTTTCTTTCAATCAATAAAACTGCTATAAGACATTCTGAATTCCTTTATGTCTGTAGTAGCAGCATCTATATCTAGTCATCAGATTGTGTAGGTAGGGATACATTCCATGAAATCATGAAGCTGGGCAGGAAGGGATGTTCCCTCTCAGTGAATGGAGATTTTCCACTTCAACAATATGATCATCATAAAAGGTGGGTCTTAAAATGACTGTAGAGAAACAGAAAAACGCAAAGCTTGAATTTGCAAGCCCAATTGTGGTATTTTTACCGCCTTGAATAGACCATTCTCTTAATCATCAAAGGATCGCTGAAGCATTTTCAAAAAAATAAAACCGTCAATCAAAGATGAGGAAGGAAGAAGGGGCACTGCAATGTTGCTTTCAAAAGAACAAGCATGCAGTGAGTAGGCCTCTGTGAATCCCCTTTTCAGAGTAGCCCCTGGTATAATCCCACTTTTTGTGACACTCAGCAAGCCAAAGGAGAGTCACCTGCTTTTCTTCTCAGAATATCTGAAGCGCTATTTCTGAAATGAAGTCCTCGGCCATAAGTCTTCTCTTGATGCTGCATTTCACCCACCTTGCATATTCTATGTGTGCTTTTAATGTTTACTCTTCGAGAGGTGGTTTTGGAAATTACGCCACTGCATTGTTAGCATCAACTGTCTTGCTGTTTTGACAGGATGTCATTGCATATTCAGCTTGACTTGTTCCATTCTCTTCTGTTCTCATAGGTTTCCTTCATTGAAGCCCAATCAAAGTGATATTTTAAAAAGAAAGGAGACAAAAACAAATTCATTAGCTATGCAAAATACTAAAAAAAATGTTCTGTACGGGTGATTAATTATAAAAGGAGTCTTAAAACTAAAAATATTGTATCTCATTCCACCACAACTTTGTGCAATTCTATAAATCTTCAAATTTGGACTATTTATCTACACCATGAATTACTGAAGAATTCTGTATTACTACTGTTAACATTTTTCTGATGACAGAAAAAAAGGATGAACATCCAAATGGTTTCCAGATATTCAATTCTCATCCATGCCAGCAGGACAGCCAATGGCAAACCATTCAGAGAGCAGCAGGTTGCATGCTCCTGAACAAGGAAAATGGAGGCGGGGAGAGAAAATGCAAGACAATAAACCCTTGATTTAAAAGGCCCTGTTTTGGGTACTTTGGTTACAGTGAAGAAAATCTGTCTGCATACTGGAAACTTCTATGCACATATACAAATTGCTACTTTATACATGCAACTTCATATAACGTGTGAAATGCATATGTGTACAATCTAGTGCCATTTTATGCATAAGCAAAATCTGTTTACATTTAATAGATATTCTAGAGGTCACTTTGAACTCTTTTAAAAAAAATTATAGATATAAGATTGGAAGGAGAGCGAATCCAAAGACATTATAATGTTGTTTCAATAAGAACAAAATGAAGAATTTATGATGACTGATTATATGATGACCAAGCATTTATTATGGTCTCTGGGTCAGAAAGCACAACAATATAATACAGAGACTTACAATTATTATAAAACTTTTAAAAAGCAATACAATTACATAAAATGTATTATTCAATAACCTAGTTATATAATTTAAGATTATTTCTGGCATGATCATAATCCAATTCACTAAGTTTCATAAAATGTATTTGTTTCCTGGCAAACAAGAACTATGGTATATTAATGTCAGTTGTGACTTCAGTACTGTCACAGGTAAATTGTAATAGCAATAGTACTTATATACCACTTCCTAGGGATTTACAGCCCTCTCTAAGAGGTTTACAGAGTCAGCATATTATTCCCAACTATCTGGGTCCTCATTTTATCAACTTCAGAAGGATGGAATATAAAGATAGTTTACAGGAATTATCAGTGATTAAGTATAATACTTATTAGTATATATTTCAACTTAATCAAACATTTTTAATTGTAAACTTCCAGGCTATGGTTGTCCCAAATGTGCTCTTTCAAAAGGCAACTGGACTTTCTTTGTTTTTAATTGAAGATGTTTCACTTCTCATCCAAGAAGCCTCTTCACTTCTGACTGAATGATGGAGGATCACGGAAGGATTTATATTTCTTGCAATTAATATCAATCCTTCCATTCTGTGCTATTCAATTAGAACTGAGGAAGCTTGGATGAGAAGCGAAATGGCTTCAAGGAAAAACAAAGTCCAGTTGCCTTTTGAAAAAGAATAGAATAGAATAACAAGAGTTGGAAGGGACCTTGGAGGTTTCTAGTCCAACCTCCTGCTTAGGAGGAAACCCTACACCACTTCAGACAAATGGTTATCCAACATCTTTTAAAAACTTTCAATGTTGGACCATTCACAACTTCTGGAGGCAAGTTGTTCCTAATTCACTTCAATTTAAAGTATTTACATATATTCATTTTTTTCCAGATCACTGAAAAATAGTCAAAATAGTCATGCACTATTTAAAATAGTCAAATACAGGTAGTCTTTGACTTATGACCAGTTGTTAATGACCATTCAAAGGTACAGTGGCCTCAGAAAGGGTGCTTTACAGCCCATAAAACACTTCTGGCTGTCATAAAACATTATGCAAGTCTTCCCCCCACCCATGTCATATGATATCGATCTGAGTCCCCAGAAACCTGTTTGCACTTAAGACCAGTTGCCAATGATGATCATGTGATCACCATTTCCAAACTTCTCTGCTGGTTTCTTTAGATAGTCAATGGAGCAGCCAGCAGGGAAGGTTGCAAGCTACTACCACCTGCCGCGGAGCTGATATTCTGGCAAGCAGGCTGCCTACCAAGGAACTCATTAGGTAGATTGCAGAAATGGAGGTCATATCCCAAAGATCAGTGGTGTCTTTGTGCAGTCTCTTAAAGGAGTTTCCCTTTGTGTAAAAGGAAGAGGCGGAGAAAGGGAGTCCAGATCCTGAAGATCCCACTCTGTTCCTGCATCGCAGTAGATTCTCTTCCATGTATGAAGGGGAGATGAACTTCTCCAGTGGGATGCAGAAACAAAGCCTAGATCCCAAAGATCCAAAATTTGTTTCTTCAGCCTACTGCAGGAGTTCTTGACCATCCTTTTCCTCTGTCCATTTAATGACTACAACTAGACGAACTGGGGTTATGGTTGTTGAGTGAGTGCTCATTAAACAATATGCTCACATAACCACTTGATAAATTCTGGGATTGCAAGCCAAGGACTACCTGTATCTGAATATTTAAAAACTATGCATCTTTAAAAAAAATATTCCTAACTTTTAACCACTCTGTTTTAGAGCTTGCTTATAATTTAATTTAGTGTATATTATACATTTAAGAAAACAAAACAAAGTAGACAAAACAATCCAAAGTCCTCATTATTGTCCTATTGCAAATTTTCTTTATAGCCTCCAATTACATGTTAAATCTGAAATATGTGTATATACAAAACCAATTATTTTTTTAAAATCTTCCCTCAATCTTCATTCCTCCAGTTCTGTTCCACTTTTTTCTCCATTCTGTTCCATCTTTTTTAAATTGGCATTTGTTTTGCAATTAATACTGGTGTATGCTAAGTGCTCTTTAAATTCATAATATTCACTCCATGCAAATCCACTCCAAATTCAGAAGCAGAAGTAACTCATTAAAACGTCTACTATGAAATCTTCTACGTGCAGTTGTTTTGCTAATTAGGAAATCACTGATTGATCTCTTTGTAAAATTGCTTTAAAATGAAAAGAGCAATTTTACGCTAAAACAAATGAAACTTTATGATGTTGAGCAAAGAAATGAAATAGGAGTGCAAATTTGTAACCTTTCCATCTCTCATTTTTCTGCATCCAAAAACCAAAAGAATATTATTTAGAAAATGTTCAATTAAATACATCCTATTCTTATCAATCTGTCCCATTCAGACAGCAAAGCAACAACGAGAGAAAACGAGAGAAACATAGGCCACGACCACTGGAAAATGTTGCAACTACTTCTATGGAAAGCAATGCAGTAGAACAGGATGTAACTGAATCTAATTTCTAAGTAATGCCCAACTTCTTTCACTCCTTATTTTTCATGGCCTGCCTTATGTTACAATGAAATCTAACCATTTGTTTAGTGTTGCCTAACACGAAGATGGGGACCAAAAAGGAGGGATGACTTAGTCATTTAAACCTGATGGTAGGAAAGAAGCACTAAGAAATATTGGATGGGAAAGGCTAGAGATGTTTGGTTTCCTCATATGGAAGTACTTAGGTCATATTTGAGCTATTTCCAGGTAGTCCTCAACATAGAACCACAACTGAGCCTATTGAGAGTTTTGCAGCGATAATTCAGCGCCAGAAAAATAAACACAGATGGCTGATGCTTCATTTAACATCATTACAAACTAAGTAGATTTTACAAACCAGTTGAAGATTTCTCCAACATGGAGAAAACTCAAACAGAAACATGTTGCAAGTTCACAGCTACGGTCCAGTCTTCAGCAAGCAAGCTAGTTTCATCTACAATACACAGACTAAGACCTCAACATAGTTGCAGAGCTTAACATAGAGCCAGACCTAGGCTACTTTTAGTTTCAGTTTCCAGCCTAGGCTACTTCTAGTAGTTTCAGTTTTCAAACTATCCTCATTGGCTGATTTAGTTGCTATGCCTATTCATTGGCTGACCCTGTTACCATGCTCTATTCTAGTTCATGAATATACTCTGACAGAACTCAAAATTTCTGTTGTGAGATATTTGTTAAGTGATTTTTGCCCCATTTTATGACCTTTCTTGTGAATCATTGCAGTGTTATTAACATGGTTAAGTGAAACATGGCTTTCCCATTGACTTTGCTTGCCAGAAGGTGAAAAAAGGTGATCACATGACCCCGGGACATTGCAATCATCATAAATATGAGTTAGTTGCCAAGCATCTAAATTTTGATCAAGTGACCATAGATATGCTTCAACAGTCATTAAGGGTGAAAAATGGTCATAAATCACTTTTTTCTGTGATGTTGTAACTCTAACACCTTTAGTGATGTTGATCATTAAATGCCAGGGATGTTTGACACCCTTCAAAGAACAAAATCTTAACAGTAGTTAAGTTTTAAATTAAATTAAAAATTACTGAAATTCATTAAGATGAAGGGGTGGCTATGTCCCATGTATTTAATATTTTCTCAATTTTGTCACTAACTGTAATTATAATTGAATTATACTCACCTGGAACTCAGTGCTAATTATGTGTCCTTTCAGATCCTTCAGGGGTCACCTAATTTTCCACTGAAATTTAATATAAATCTCTTCAAATCCTCTTAATAAAGATTCATTTGCTTTTAACTTGTTTTTTGGGGCTCTAAACTGATAGAATCATTGATAGCATATAAGATCTAGAAAGGAATTATCTGATCTTTGACCCAGTGAAGGAGCTCTGACAGCCAAAACAGTTTTGAAGCAGGACAATCTACCTAAGGTAGTCTTTTAATCTGTTGAACAGCTATTACAGTCGTGGTTTTTTTCCCCTGATGCCTAACTGAAATCAACTTTTTGGTAATTTATTTATTTATTTTTGTTAGCTTGGCTTATATGCCACTGCATTTCCAAAGAGTCTAAGTGGTTACAAATAAAAAATAAAAAATAAATGAGGAGCAGAATCTTCCCACATCTCCAAACACCTTTGAAGAATCTTACTTTGATAATTCTTTGGGGAAAAAAATAGGGGATTTGATGCCAAGAAATGGGAACCTCTGGACATGGAGGTTCAGAAGTAGGGATCCATCACTGAGAAGGTT